GACGATAATTGGGCAGGGCTATGCGAGCTCGCTATGCTGATGAAGAAGAAATAAAGACAGGCCGCGATAAGGAGAGGACAGAGTCGAGAGTTGACGTTTACGGCTAAGAAATGCGACAGTTATCGTGGCTCTCGAGGTAATGGCGACCGAGCATTCAGTCATCCGAGTATAGCAGGCAGCGTCGCAGCAATAGGAGAGAGAAGAAGACCGATCTGCCGTGGTTGGACTTGGTCGGCGCATTGTGATTGAGTCCTATGGTTCATTTGGGAAGGTAAGTGGCGTCAGTAGGATTGGACTGGTCAGAGATAGAAGTGGTTATATTAACATAGGGCGAACAAGTTCAGCAGGATATCAAGGTGAGGGAGGAAGTGCTTTGGATCAACGGAGCCTAGACCGCTAACATCCCGGTAGCCTGGTAGCAGTCCCATAGAATTTGGCTGATCAGCTGAGGCTGAGTTACGGATGACAGAGACTCAATCGTCCAATTGAAGAAAGATTGAATACAAACGGCGCTCAATCATCTGAACGATGGCCAGTAATGTCACAGGATTCTGAGAGAAGTTGGAAAGCAGGAGACCGAGCAGACGAGACTGGATTAGTCGGCGAAACGAGATTAAGTCCAACAGCTAACTTTTGGAGGGCAAATGGAGTGGGTCGAGAGGTGGAGGTGCCTATATAAATAGAGGGTGAACAAGTCTAGCAGGCTGTCAACGTAGGTGCGACATAGCTTGAGTCTACAGAGTTTAGACCGTTTAAATGTTGCTGGTCTCGAAAAGGTCAAAGAAGCAGACCGGGCAGATGAGACTAGGTTAGTACAGGGCACTGAGAGTTGGCATTCCGATTAGAGAAGAAATGATAGTAGAGAACGCCATAAAGAGAGGAGACGGTCCGGATAGAGAGAGGTTTACTTATAAGGTGTGGAAAAGTCTATGGGGCTCGAGAGGTAATGGGGGCAGAGCGTTCGGACTGCTCATCAAATGCCGGTAACGTCACAGCAGTCTGAATGAATTCGGAGAGCAGGGGACCGATCGGACGAGACTGGATTAGTCGGCACATGGAGAGTAAGTCGAACAGTTAAGGTGGGAAGATAAATAGAGTCAGCGGAGACGGATAGGTTTGGGATGCAAGAGGCTACATGAGTATAAGGTATGCAAGACAGGCAGGCTCGCAATGTGAGAGAATTTGGTTGTTGTTGGTACAGAGCCTAGAACTGAAGTTCGATAGTCCAAGAGGATAATAGAGCAAGGCACTGAGAGCACGCTCTCCGGTTGAAGAAGAAATGCGATAAGGAGAGGACAGAATTAAGAGTTTACGTTTAGGGCTAATAAATGCGACAGTTAATGTGGCTCTCGAGGTAATGGTGACAGAGCGTTCAGACTTCCGAGCAATAGCCGGCAGGGTCACAAAAGTCGGAGAGATGGCAACTATTGGTCTCTTATGAAGGGCCGTCATGCATTTCGTTCCATACATTCTCTCGCAAGTGTTCCATGCCTGCGTGGAAACCTAGGTAACGAAGCGATCCAGGTGTGGCAACCCGAACTGGCTGAAATGCGACCTGGCTGAGCTGGAGACTTAAGAGAAACTGGCGACCAAAAACATTAAGTATTTGTTCCAACAGCCACGCAAATTTTGACTGCAAGCTCTATGAGTTCGTACGTTAGTTGTTCATCGGTTACAAAGTGTACTCGTCTGACCTTCGCGGAAGTTGACGGAGGCTAGGCATGTTCGACAAAAGCTTTTTAACCTCAGTGGCGCTACCATACTTTGGGGCCAATAGTTGAAATTGGCTGTGCAATACAAGAAGCAGGACACCGCCTGAAAAAATTTTCTCCGAGTTTGTCCGCCGTGGAACGTTCGGCCGAATCTGGTTATTCCTAAGATCAAATTGGCTGATTTGCCGAATAACTTCCCTGGGTTTCCAGCTGGGTAGTACGGGTCAATCATTTTCCGGTAAATTGTTCGACGGCAGCGTGCTAGCAGTTGGTGGTTTTCGGCCTGGCGAGCGTTCCCCCAATGCAACGCCGCACGTCTCTGTTTAACAACAATGCGACTTTGCGGAGGCTGCGCGCTACTAAATATAGTCACCGCCTTTCGCCAAGCCAAGTGATGGCACTCCTCCACGTACGTCATTTATCAACTTCGAAGGATTACAGGGATCCCTACTTACAACTATAGCAAGATAAGACACAATAACATGCGGCGTTAAAGTAACAACGCCATACAACAAGGTCACCCAAAAGCGTACCTACATATGCACATTCAATAATCCAGCAGGTAACTGGTTGACTTGGTAAATACGTGTACAATAACCGAGCATTTTTGTATTACCATACTCAACCTTATGCAGGCGTGTCTCGCACCGGCGGGAATAAATGCTATGTTTGTTTATTTAAATAAATAACAAGTTTATTCGTGTGAAGCCAGGTACGCCTAGACAGATAGGAGCATGACAACAGACAAAGGAGTGAGACGGTAACGTATAACAGTTCATGCCAGCCCTTGCTGTTAATGAATATATGTACGCAGGTATGCATGTGTGTAGCTGTGTGGCATGGGCTTTTATTGGTGCCGCTACGTTAATAATGTTTGATGGTGTGTTCATTTTGCGGGGAGATAGTTGAGTCCTTGGCTCGGGTAATACTATAATGGTAAGCATTGCGCAGTGACTTTAGTTAGTAGCGAATCACATTCGCCACGTCGCAGTGTTGTTATACAAAATTTGAGGCATTTTATTTATAGAACGCTTGCCAGGTGGAAACCAACCACTTTCTAACACAACTCCGTCGAATAATTCGCTGGAACGGAGTGAAACCCGAACCACCCAGCTGGCCCCACGCTGGGGTTGCTCCGATAACAGACCACATACTTTCGTTACTCAGTATGATTCCCACTTATGGAGTGACAAATGGCGCAGAAAAAACTACTGTTTATGATCCCTGTGAAATCGGGGTAGAGGGATATGCGCGTCTTTATCCTGGATGTAGCGTGGATGCGTCTTTGTTTTCGCCGTCAAATATTTAAATATTGTGCCGCATGGAGTGTCTAACTTAAGCACTTGATCCGTAGTATGCTCTTTTTCTTTGTTCAATTTAAAGCTACCGCGTGTCCATTCTGAACATAATAGCGAATATGCCCGCTGCTGAGCATCCCTTAATGGGATTAGCACGCCATCATGAAAAGGTAGTTTGGGTAGCCTCCAATAATGCACTATCTATGAACGGCTACTCCAGTATGGCCTTCTTTCTAGAGCTCACTAAATTACAGACTCAGTTAGAGCTGATTACTAGCAGCTCGCAACGGTTCCAGGAGGTTGCATACCATTTTCGGCAAACAACTGTGGGTCTTGTTCGGACTTCATCTGGCCACCTTGTCTGCTCCGGGATTAGGTGGCTAAGGTTAAATGTGTGATGTCCGATTCTAAGAGAGCGTGATGGATGAGACTTATGCCATGTCTCTAGTGGTTGCTTGGCCATTGCTTCATTTACTGCAACGTCGTTGTTGTCAATGGGAACCCAATGCTGACTTTGGCATAGTGGCTAGACGCATCGTCACGGGTTCAGCTCATCATTATCACCCAACTGGATTCAAACCGCAGTTCTCCTTTGGGAAGCCGCACAAGCCTCGATCCGGTAGGATCAAGAGTAAAATCGATTTATTGCGTAGATAATTGTGCGCAGGCGGTGCAGTGCACAAAATTTTTGTATTTTCACCAGCGGTGATGTATTTTGAAAATTTATGTAATGTGCCTAATGTAAACCTGAGAAGTAAACATTGCTATTAGACAAATCCTACCGCATGTAGGGACCAAATGATGCAAATACTGGAGAAATAATTGCTGGACACGTGTCATGCAGCTGTGTCAACATGTAACTAAAAGTGTGAGGAACCCATTAGTTTTTGAAAACTTTGCTTTAATGTCGCTTTGAAGGATGGTTTCTCAGCTAACATATAAGCTGCAGGCATTATCAGAATATGACCTAGTGGTAGCGCCCGGATGGTCAACGGTGCAGAGAGATTTCGAACCCTGAGTGCACCGGCTTTTGTACTCGCCCCGGCTGTAAATTTTTAAAATTAGAAGTCTACAGAGAGGAATACGATGGTTAATGTGCAATGATGCCATTAAAAAGTTAAAACGTAAAGTGGTTATAAGCTTGCACATATTCAAGCAGGACTCTGCATTCCAAAGTAATGCATGCACATTATTCTAGGTTAGGATGAAACACTAAGGTACATTTGTGCACAAGATTCTTTACTATATTTATACACATTCCATTAACAAGCTGCCACACTACTAACGTGACCTTTATTTACTCTGGAGACTCACACGGAATAGGCACTGAATGTCCCGCAGATCCTGTTTGTTGTGTTTTAAGGGTAAGCTTAGTGGTCAAGTACGGCATAACCTTGCTCATATATGTTGCCCATAGGCGGAACTCGGCGATACACCAAGTATAAAATTGAAGGTGCGCCGTTCTCTAATCTACCGCTCGTAGTCCAAAGATCGCGAGGTAGAATTCACCGCCACTTTATATAATGCATTTATTACAGCTGTATCCCTTTAATACAATGTTAGGTTGATCCTAGTTGTTATTTTGCCCGAGTTTCTCTGTCTTCGTTTATTAAGTTTTTCACACATCTCGTGACACCACTTGGAGAATATCCGCACCCACCTGGCAGGTGGGTAGAGATCATATTACACGGTTACAACATGCTTGCGCTGAGTTGACGCAGATAAACGACGAACCAGCTCGCTGAAACCTAGTTTGGTATACCGATGCACTCAGAGTCCACCATTCCTTTTGTCCGCCTGAACATAACATAAAAATCCACTAAAGGTCTTACTCTCACGAAAGAGCATATACAACAACTAGATAAGCTATATTTTTGATTAAATTATTGTGTCAACGCATATTTTCGAGCCAAAGACATAGGACGTGTCGTTTTACCGGATTAACATAACAACAATGTGCTTTTAGCACGTTTCCGAAATCCCTGGTTTGATGTCTTTGCTCTTTTTTTCCCATCTGTGTTTTGCACTATTTCACCTAGGTACACTTTTTATTTATGTCGCAAGTAAGTTCTCTTATTCTTCAGCATAACATTTAAGGTCTTACTGCTGAGCTTGCGACGGTACCGAAGGAATTAGGCTTTGAAGTTTACAATAATGTTGCTTCGCCTCCATTTGATATGTATCTCCTTCAGCCAAAGCTTGATGGATCTATTACGGCATTTGTTGGCCCAGTTGAATCTACTCACTCATATAATATGGCAAGTGTGTCAGTTTTTTTGAACACACATAATGTGTACGTCCATCGGACCTACGTATCCCCCTTGTTTGCTCTGTGTATTGTGGAAAACGCCCATCTTTTGGCGCAGCAGGACATGATACTTATGTGTGTCTTCCATGTGAACGTACCCACATTTGCGGGTCCTTTCTTGTCTGAATCCTCATGTTTACTTCACACCTTAAATGAGTCAGAGTGCGCATCCCGAATTGATCTAGAATTTTTGTCGCAGTATCAAACTTTTCCGGCGTCTCTAGGGCCTGTTGTCATCACTTACAATATTTCGGCCTTTCAACTGAATTACACTGGCGGAAATACGCAATATTTTGAGCGGCCAGATGTTATTGGCTCCCTTATTCATCCATCCATGAGTCTTCCCCCGGTTTCTGTTTTGTTGCTGCGTGATGTCAACTGGATTACTCTTTTCAAAGATGCCAGTGGGCAGTCAGTCATGCAATGGGGTGTTCCAGGAATGCAGCTTGGGAGTTTATTCAGCATTTTTCTCAGGATTACTCGAAGTTCTTTTCTTCAAGAATTTCGTATGCGGTAAGTGTACCTAACTCGGTGGTTTTTCTCGGTGTTCATTTATATTTACCAACGATCCATGTAGATTTTGTACTCTTGTAATTTACTGACTTCTTGCAATCTGACGTTTGTTGCAGATTGTATCATATTGCAGATATCACTCCATTTCTCTTGCATTCCTTAGGTTTTCTCGGTCTCTGATACAACATGGCTACCCAATGCAGGGTTTCCGTTATTAGGACTTTTTTGGTTTAGATTCTTTAAATCAATCTTCCGAATCCTATCGATACTTTAGTGGGTTTAATTCTGGACATTTTAACTCCTTACTTTTATCACCGAATTTACTGGGTTGATGGTACATGTAAATTATTTCGATTTCTTCAAACTACTGGCTCAAGATTTTGGAATATCGTGGTATCCAGAATGGTATCAGATATTTGGTTACTTTGCCGCATAATCTTTGTTCCCCCCACACATTACACGTTCTGTGCTTACGGCACCGCTGCAAGACTAACTTGACTATGAGTAGCGTAGAAAAACGTCACATGCAATTCCGAGGATCTTCCCGCTATCCAGCTTTTGAGAGTAGAGCGTGCGAGGCCGCAACTTCGTCATGGACTCCATCATGGAGTGTTCCCTTGCGGAGTCTCACGATGCTGGCGTTGAGGTGCTGTCTGATAATACGGATGATATTGTGTTACTTTTTAGCTGTTTTTGGAACAAGCAACACTGAATAAACTCTCCAATGTGACCCCATCATTTGGCATTTGCATCACACCTTCAAAGATCAAGGTGCAGGGCCGCCTTCCACTTGACGACCCGTTGACCCCTGATAACAAGGGACTAGAAGTAGGTGATCGGTTCCCTCACCTTGGTTGCTGCATCAGCAACGATTGGCGCATAACCATTGAAGTCACTTCACCTATTGAAAAAGCTAGAACCGTCTTCTTCAATCTGCGACATCTGTGGCGTCAGGAGAGGGTTTCTCTCCACCTGAAAGGCCGTGTTTACAAGGCCACCGTGAAGGCCGTCCTATTATATGGGAGGGAGTTAATCCCTTGGATCTGTGGAGGCGCCTTCAAGTCTGATCACCGGGGTCTGCGAGGCATTGCTGATGTCGGATGGCGCCAGTGTGTTCGCAACAATGATGTGCGTAGACGAGTGATATGTAGTGATAATCATGCTAGCTCTCTAGAGCAAGATTGCACTGAATAAGTTGTGTTGGCTTAAGCACTTCCTACGTATGCCCGGTCGCTGCTAACAGAGTAGGGTCTTATTTTGTTTGCCAGATGTATGGTGTCGCTAGGCTCGAGGCGGACAAAAGTTGACTTGGCAGCGGGAATTAAAGTCACTAACGACCGAACTCGGTGCCACCGGTCCGTCTCGCCTTTCAGGCTGGAGCCCACGTGACTCGCCTTGTGCTTGGCTGAAGACTTTACAGGACCTGGCTCGAAGTCGACACCAGGGGCGCGCCTACTGTGGCCTCGTAGTCGGGCTGCCTGTTTAGTGTGTTCGATGCTGAATTATCTGCGAGGTAATGGCTTATTATTACGCAGGACAGTACAAACCATTAGGAATCTGTCTCGCTGCTGTCGCCTTTTCTTTGCACGATAGCCAGCTGTTTGTGACCTTTTCAAGGTGTAGGCCCTTTGACTCTTAATGTTTACTTAGGGCACTAAGGTTTCGGTATTATTCTTCGTCCTTTAGGTCGCAGTGTTTGTACGGCGGTGAAGCATCGGTCCAAACTGTTGATGCAATGTTGTTGTTGTTTTTGTTGTTGTTGTTGTTGTTGATGATGATGACGATGGTCACTGACGGCAAGCCAAGGACACCAGTGCTATATCTAGGTCAATTGTTATCAGTCGACTTTGTCTATCAAATGACTTTACCACATACAAAACGAATCGACCTCTATTGTATACTGCCGCTCAGGCCCTATGCACCTTAACCTTATATCGCACGCTCTCAAAGGACTAATAGAAGGTGTTTTTCCCACCTGTTCACGAATCGCTTGTACATGTTTATTCACGCATAAGTACTTGACTTAGGTATAATACATACTTTGCTTTTCGCAACTGGAAGTTTTGAGTAGCCCTTTTTACATAGACCTTAGTCATTGGTGTACACATTTTATTTGGCTCTGTTTCCAGGCGTTGATCTGAGTATATCGTTGCATGTTTGATATTCGGCATAAAACAGCTTGTGTTAACTAGAAATCTGTTTTGTAACCATTTGGGAGCTATGACAACGCTTAAACTGGAAGGACGGTGTCGAATAAGAGCATTTATGAGGACAAACTTGTGGACATTAGTGCTAAAAATGAGAGGAGCGGTGATGCATTGTACCTCGTTTTGTGTCACCATGGTGCATGTGACATGGCATTTCATGGCTTTTAGTTTACACAGGATGCTTTTTCAATCCGTAAGGCCCATGTGGATTCTCAAGGCCCAAACCATATATGTGGATGCTTTGATGTTTTCAGAATGCTTGTGGTCCTTACTACTGTATGAATCAGCCGTACATCCTCTGCTCCCTATCACCATTAAGGGTTTTTTGACCGCTGGCTGCTTCGGGGCATGTGTCGTTCATGGCCGGTGTCCGAAGTAATGAGGCACCTGCCGATGCTAGGGACCTCGCAGTGTCCTTAGCCCACGCGCGATTTATTGTAACAGCGTGACAGCGAGGCGTCTGATGCGGCGCACCGGTGCACTGTTGCTGTCTTTTATCTTGTTTCCTGGGGTCGTTGGGCAGTGAAGTCTTCTAAATGGTTCTCGAAAGCAAGCCCTGTGATGCTCCATTTTATCGTCTTTCTTGCTTGCTCTGTCTTCTTTGTATGTGGCATGTTTTCAGACACCTGTTTACCGCCGAGCTCGCCGTGTTATTTGCTGCTACTAAATCTGGTCGGATGAAATCTCGGGCTTGTTTTCCGACAATGACTGTTTATAATGGCCGTGGGTTCTCGAACTGCATCAGTGGTCACAGACCCTTTCGGACCAAGCGCCACCACCGAGTACATTTTGATTCTCCTGAGGCCGAGTAAGAGTCTACGGGCAGCTGTTTACTGAGTTCCCCACGACAACTGTGATTCGTCTGCGTTGTCCTATATCCCCTGTATCAAAATGATCGTGAAGAACTCCGTTTTTTTCAGACTCTTCTGAAGTGGAAGTTCTATCAGGTGACCGAATGATGAACCTAGAGTATGTGAACGACTTAGCTCCCTCCACGGCCTGACGCAGTGGCTATGCAAGCGCTACTGAGTGAACTGGTGATTAGCGCTACACGCTTCAGTATGTACTTTGTACCTTCAAAGTGCAAGGCTTTGTTGCAGTACTAGACCGATACACTACCGGTCTTAACTCTTGGTGGAAAGCCTCTTAAAGTGGTGGATGGGTTCACATACCTTGGTAGCTGGGTCACTTCTGGTGTTCACATCACTGAGGAAATTGCTTTGCGTATCAGCAAGGTCTTTGTGACTTTCCAGTGACTAAACCATCTGCCGAGACGGAGGGATATCACCTAGTTAGTGACAGGTAGGGTTTACAACGCTGCGATAAGGCCAGTTCGCAGTTAGGACATTAAAGACTTGGCCGTGTTTGGCCACCTGTGTTTGCGGAATATTGGTCACATCTGGTGGGAACACCGGATGAACAGTGCTGAGGTCTGCCGATTGGTTTTTGGCAAAAAAATCCTGATGCTTCGGTTGAACTGCGCTAGGTCATTTCCTCTGCATGCCCTTGACGACTTCATAGCGTGCATTATACGCCGTGGCTGCGCCAAGTTGGGCGAAACCGCGAGGTGGGCAGTCGATGACGAGGCACAAATGCTTTAAGAAATTGATCAAGTGATTTTTGCAGACTAGTGCGTTCCCTATTCGCTTTTGGTGACCCCTGGATAATCCACATCAGTGTTTGGAGACTATGGCATAGTCACGCAACCAGCACCATACCTGCATAAGGTATCTTGCATCTAGCTGGTACCGTTCCCTCAATCTTGATTAGTTTGACGCACTTCCTTTTTCCCATTTTCACTATATTCTGTCCGGATTTAGCCTCATTTTTAACGGTTATTATTTATTGTTATTCTTCCGATGTGAGTCATGACAACTAAACCCACGGCATTTCGGTTTCTGAATCATAGTTGTCCAACTAACCTGTACTGAACTGATCAGATGACCATAACGATAAGGCAGTGTCCGCATAATTCAATTTGATCGGTTATTCCGTGGCCACAACCTACATACCTGTACTGCGGGACTCCACAAATGAAAACCCCTTGATGTGGACCTGGCAACTAACGAACACAACTTGTTATCGGGAATATATCTGATAGTTTGTCGTAGACCCTAACGCGACCCAATATGTACGATGTTTGCCACCTGTAACCGACGTATTGGATGATAATGCTAGAGTATGGAACAAGTCACTTGTTTACATATTTCTTGGGACTATCTCCCTGGTTACATATATCGAACAGAAAGCAGCGGTTCACTGAAGCTTAGTACCAGGGACTGTACATGAGCAACAGTAAGCACTGACTCACTTTCGTCTACTTTGTATCATATCACTTTTAACATGCATTCACCCTACGCGTTAACACAATGTTACTTAGTGACCGTCTGCCGTAAACCTTGGCTGATATTCTGCACTATAATTAGTTGGTAACAACACCGGTTTCCGTCCATTACAGTTTTTCAGTTCGCTCTGTGTTTCACTGCCGGGTGTCTCGTATCACATTCACCTCTAGAGCAGAACCTTTATCGAATTCACTCGTGAAGTTAGCATTATATACTGAAGGGCTTTATTCATGCCCACACTACACTTCCTTTTCATTATATATATATATATATATATATATATATATATATATATATATGGCGGGAGAGCCTATGGTGCGCTGAGGCTGGTTGTGGCTAGATCCGGACAGATGATCTACCCACTGCTGCTACTGTTGCGCCATTAGCTCATGCCCTTCTATCATGGTCAGTATAAACTTTATGAGTCCTCTTGGGTTACGTTTTGACG